AGGAGGAGGAGGAGGAGGAGGAGGAGGAAGGAGGCGTGGCTGCACTGGATTTGAAATGAGTGTTGCGCTTCAGCCCTTGTGGTGCTGAGCATTATGTGGATCTTGGATCCAGTGTTCAAGTCCGCCGTCAGGTCGCATCCTCGGAACCATTCACTGCACCATTCACTGCACCATGTGTTCTCGGAGAAAACAGCGTCGAATCCTTATCGATATCGTTCTTGAGAACTTGCACGGTCGCCGAGCGAAGCCATGGTGACACCTACTCAAAAAAAAATCAGCTGCGCGCCAAGGGTGGTATGAACACAAGTCGGCAAATGTCATACTTAATTGTCTGTCTGCGCAGCTGCAGGGTGACCACGAGTTCAATAAAGCTGCGTTCCAGGCCAGTCATAATGGAGCGGTAAACTACATCTGCTAGCAACAGCAAGCACATGAACGGGATCTGCCCGAAGAGCACACGTTAACGTTAACGCAGATGTTTGGCAAAGCAAGCGCGGCAATTTTGAGCCTCTTGAAGGGTGAGCGGATGTGTGAGGTAGAAATCGGTCAGAATAACATCGTCCAAAACAAATGCAATCACTGACCTTTTGGCGAAGCTCACCGACAAGGTACACCCAAGCAAAAGCAAGGGTAACCAACTGGCTATTAGCGAGTCAAAGGCAATCCAAGCGCAGAAGAACCGTAATGGTGACAGGTCGAAATCTCGTGAATGAAATAATCGCTTACTCGATGTTTTGGCACAAGTTAAAAACGGCAGCCGGCAAGCGTTTAAGACTCGCAGTGCTAAGCTGGAAATTGCGGACGGCGCAATACCCGACCCCAGCGAAGAAGGTCGCATTATCAGACTGCGCCCTGGAATACTACAACAGAGCGAGGAAAGATCGGCCGGATTATGCCTATGAGTGTTGCACATCCAAAGAGGACAAGGTAAGTATTCACGGAAAAGTTGGAAAGCGTAGAGGCCCGAGGTAAATTGATCAGGTTACACGAGGGACAAGGACGAATTGCCTAAATGCGTATATAACATTGGCACTCCGCAGTCATTTGGGCAACGTGATCTGCCAAGACGAGCGTGGCTACGAATCTTGAGAGACCCAATAAGGTGGGTGACACATCGTCACAACCAATTTGAACAGTTGAGAAGTTAAAGCAATGTTGAAGATGGTATGCGTTACTAATGCCATTCAGAACCACGGCTCCCAAGACAATCATGACCTTCGCAGGTGAATGGTTTGACGTTTGACCACAAGCCAGCTTCAAAACCATCACCAACGAGTCATACCAAACGTTATATCCCAAGTGCGAGGGCTGGGCCCGTAAAGAGAGGTTGGACGTTGCCCCACAGAACCGTGACGCAATGGACACAAGGGGTCGGACAAATGGGTGGCCTTTCGAACAACGCAGCAGGCGGCGGGGCAGACGACCCAACAGGAGGTTACGATGAAGAAGGGTACGGGTGGCAATATGAACGCGAGAATATCATGTGCTATAAGTGTGGTAACCAAATGCACATGGCCAAGGATTGCCGAGCAAAGGGCAAAGTCCCATGGATCCCCAGAGGTAGAGGATAGCCAAGTTGGCAGAAATGGGGAGTGGAACAACAACTGCTGCGGTAACGAAGGGTCATCCAGGCCAACAGCTCGGGAGTACACTACACGTCGGTCGTTGAAAGTAGGCATTTCTGGATTCCCAGATCCCAGCCTACTTCCAGCGCCTTCCTACTTCAAGAGGCGAGCGGTGTTCCTCTTCCCTCCTCTCCAGGAGGTGTGCGGAGACCCAATCTACTTCCAACGCCTTCCTGCTTCATGTTTCTACCTACTTCTTCCGACCGACGGCTATAGGCAGAGGCCAAGGGCACGTGCCCATGTTCCACGTCTGCTGCGGGACTTCTTGCTGGGCCTCTCGGAGGCCCAGCAGACGGCCGCCACTCGGAGGCCCTGGGGGCCACCTCGTGGGGGAGGGCTCCCGCGGTCCCTGCGAGCTCTGCCTCTCGGGCCCCTCTTGGGCCGATGTCGGGGCCCTCTTGCAGGACTTGTTGGTCGCCCCGGGAGGCCTCCTGGGCCGTCTGCAGGCCCTCCTGGGGGCCTTCCGGGCCGCCTTCGGCCAGTTTGTGGGGCCTCTCGGGCCGTCTTGGCCTTTTAGTCGGCCGTAATGGCAAGAACGCGAACTTCGATCCAACACACATGCGAAAGCATCGGTCTTTGTTTTTTGGGGGCCCTCTGGGCGGTCCTCCTGAGGCCCTCCTGGGGCGTCTTGGGGTCGCCTTGCGCCGTCTCGAGGCCCCTTGGATGTTCTTCAGGCCTCTCCGGCGTGCCTCCTCCTCCTCCTCCTCCTCCTCCTCCTCCTCCTCCTCCTCCTCCTTGGGTGTCCTCCTCCTCCTCCTCCTCCTCCTCCTCCTCCTCCTCCTCCTTGGGTGTCCTCCTCCTCCTCCTCCTCCTCCTCCTCCTCCTCCTCCTTGGGTGTCCTCCTCCTCCTCCTCCTCCTCCTCCTCGTCCTGGAGCAGAGCAAGCATCTTGGGCATCCTGGCGGCCACCGGGGGGGTGCGCCCGGGGAGCCCGCGCGCTCGTGCCTCCCCCTGCCCTCCCCCCAAATCTTGGGGGGAGGGGGACAAAAACACACAGACATCCTCCTCCTCCTCCTCCTTCTCCTCCTCCTCCTCCTCCTCCTCCTCCTCCTCCTCCTCCTCCTCCTCCTCCTCCTCCTCCTCCTCCTCCCCCTCCTCCTCCTCCTCCTCCTCCCCCATGAATGGTCGACTCCCCCGAAAATATGGGAAAACATGGGAAGTGGGGGGGAGGACAGAAGCCCAGAAAATATAGGAAAATAAGGGGAATCCTGTTGTTTGTGCGTATTTGTTTGTGTGTCCCAGGGTCTCAATTTGCATCTTGGGCCCGAGGGGGAGGGGGAAAGGCTTTGCCCCTGACGCAATGCGGGCAGCAACTTCGGTGCAGGAAGTGACACTTGTTGCGGAACTCCACTTCGACCTTATTGGGGCGAGGGTCACACACTATTTCTTATTGTCTGAGCTTCTTCGCTGATGAAGTCGTTCTCTACATCACTCATGCCGCTGCCTGATACACTTTTCCCCATCTTCCTCACCTTAATCATCAACTTGGTGTTGTTTGCGTCTGCTGCTAGGACTTCGGACCGTACGAGGCTTAGTAGACGAGGCTCTCCTGAAATATTCTGTGCAGTGGAACCTCCTTTCTGCTACTTACCTAATGATCTGGTTGACTGGCTCCACTTCCTTTGCCCCTGCGTAACTGGGTGACGAATAGGAAATTCCCATAATGCTCGTGAATCGCCGTTCTTTCTCCCGAGGCTTCGTGCTCCAGGTAACTGCAGGATCGCCCTTGCTCATTTCTAGTCTCAGTGCCCTGTGGGGGGCTTCTGAGGCGCTATTTGTGAGGCCGCTGATGCCGTCTTGGGCCTTTGGAAGTACGAGGGTCTGCTGGAGCTCCTCCTGGACTGACTTGGAGCGTCTCAGGGGCCTCTTGGGCCATCTTGTGGCCATCTTGGGCCGTCTTGGGTTAATCTGAGGCCGTCTTGGAGGCGTCTCGAGGCAATGTTAGGCTGTCTTGGGGCCATCTTCGACGCCTTGGACGCGTCTTGGGATCATCGTGGAGGCCACCTTGGAGCTATCTTCGCCATCTTGCAAGAACGCCTCAGTCGAAACGCCTGCTCTGGGTGTTCGAAAGTCGCCCAGGCCACCCCCAGGGGCGCGAAGATAGCCGCGCTTTTTGCGCGTCGCGGCCTGGGCCTGAGCGAGCGCCCTTCTGCAAGGGGGCGGCGTGAGGCCAGCCATGCGCGAAGAGGACCGCGAAGTTAGACGACCTGGGCGGCAGAGTGCCGTGCCTTGGCATCGCTCGGACGTGTGCATGTTTTCTCGGCGAGAACCATCGAGGACCATCCTGGACTATCGAGCAACAAAAAACACGCACGAAACCGAAAAATGCACGGGAAATGGACGTCAGAGGGACGGCAAGGTGCTGTTACGGGTGCTGTGTTGGAGACGGAGAGGTTGCGCAGCGGCTCTGCGGCGCACCGGCGGGCTCTCGGGGAGGCGCGGCCCGTGGACACGGATTTGCACGGCGTGTCGTGAGCCCCTGTGCAGCGGATGCCCAGGCCCGGTGCCGAAGACCTCGAGGCGGGAATTTATGCATGACCACCGCCTAGAGGGTCAGTTTTCGGAGCCTTGGCAGGCGGTGGATATGGACACGTTCGGGCCCCCGGGGGCCGAAATGTGTCCATGTCCACCGCCCGCTGGGGCACCAGGACGTCGGTTCCCAGGCGGTGGACATGGATAAATCCCCGCCTCGCAGAGACGAAGAGGGGTCGTTGTGCGCCCGGTCGTGAAGCCGGTGCTTCGTGGGGACGGCTGCGGGTCTTGGACGTCTTGGGGGCGCCTTGTGGGGAGCCCCCCGGGGAGGAGGAGGGGGGGGAGGAGGAGGGGGAAGAGGAGGAGGGGGAGGAGGAGGAGGAGGAAGCGGAGGAGGAGGAGGAGGAGGCGGAGGAGGAGGAGGGGGAGGAGGGGGAGGAGCGCCCGGAGCTGCGTCGCTGCGGGGTGCAGCGTGCCAGCGCAGGCCCCGGAGAGGCAGCGGGTGCTCGGCACGTGGCCGCCCCTGGGGAGCGGGAGGTGCGTCTTTGCTGGGCTTTTGGGGTCCCTTGGAGAGCTCGGGTGAAGGCGGGCCCGTCCCTCCACAGGAGGACTGTTCCAAGAGAGGCCCAAAATAGTCAGGACACGATTCCTTGACTACTTTTGACCATTCTGGGGTATGTGTTCTGTATTTTTTTAAAACAAATTTTCCGTCCGAGCTCGGCCTGGAGGGGGACAGGCCCGACTGAAAGCTTGGGCTGCCGCCGTTTTCTGCTCGGCCTCGGGCTCTCAGGGCGCCCGTCCGCGCTCATCCGTGCTCCCAGGCCAGGCCTGTCGGATGAGCGCGCCCGTCGCGGCCCGCGTGCAGGCCGCGGAGCACGCCGGGGATACCGATGCCGATCCCGACATGCCGGCCCCCAGGGCTTCGGCTGGCGGCGCCGAGGTGCCACCGCCGGAATGCGCCCACATCCACAGTTTCGGAGTCGTGCCCTGAGACCTCGAGGAGTGGTGGGTATGGGTGTTTTGCTGGACTTGGGTCGGTTGAAACTTGTGTTCTCGAGGTTCAACAATTCGTTGGGCCTCTAATATTTTTTCCGATGGACTTTGACCTTACTCCCGCTCGCCATCTTGATCTCAGGTCGATCGGGTGGATATTACTATGAAAAAAGGACATGGGCGGGTATGGATATGTGCCCGCCCCCAGGGGCGGGCAGAGATCCAGTCCCTGGGGCCCGAGCCCGCGGCAGTGGATGTGGGCATATGCTGGCGGCGCAGAGGTCGCTCCAGACTCGCCGGCGAGTCCACCAGCGCGAACCCGACCCTTGATCTTGCGCGAGGCGACGGATCAGATGCTGGTGGAGCTCCGCGGGGCGACGCTGCAGAGTTGCCTGAGCGGCCTGGGCTCGATCTGGGCGACGTCCGCTGGAAAGGAGAGCCACTACGCGCGCACGCGAAGGGTGCACCGCCTCGACTACTTCGTCTCCCACGACTGGGGCACAGGCCGCTGGGTGAAGCTGCTGGCCCTTGCCGTGCACTTCAACGGCGTGCCAGCGCTTTGTGCGAGCTTCGCCGTGAGTTTGCTCGTCTTCGTGCTGCAGGTGGCGGGCGTGCTGGCGCAGCGGCAGCCGCCCCAGGTGCGCATCACGGCTGGCGTAGAGTACGAGGAGGTCTTTGGGGTCTGGTGTTTCCCCGCAGGCATCTGCACCTTCTTCTTCGTCCTCATCTATTGGCAGGTCTGCAGTGAGTGCGTCCTGTCGCCGACCTTCGTCTTCGTCGACAAGATGTGCATCAGCCAGTGGAACCCAGAGGAGAAGGAGCGCGGCGTGTGCTCGATCGGCGGCTTCCTGCAGAGGTCGGATCAGATGCTCATGCTGTGCACGCCGAGGTACTTCTCGCGGATGTGGTGCGCCTTCGAGGTGGCCGCGTGGCTTAGGCTCAGGAACGTTGACTCGATCATCTTCTTGCCACCGAGCGACGCGGTGTTCACCGGCCTCTGGTTCTCCCTCGTGCTGTGCGCCCACGGCTGTATCTACATTGGCACCCAGTTCCCTGGCGTGCCACTCGCCCCCTTCGCGCTGCTCGTCGTCTTCTGCGCCCCGTTGCCCCTGACCCACTCGGCGAGGCTGGTGATGCGGGAGCTCCTGTCGTTGCCGGAGCTGCTACGTGCGCACGACGTGGCCGAGACCCAGTGCTTCTGCTGCACGCACCAGCACGTCGACCCAGTGACAGGGTCAGCGCTCATGTGCGACCGCGACATCGTCTACGAGGCGATCGACTGTTGGTACGGGAGCGACACGCCGTGTCCTTCGCACGAGAAGGCCACAGTGGTGCGCCAGTCATCGCACGAGGCTTCCGCAGCGGAAAGAAGTGCGGGCACGGCGCATTTCAACGAAGTGGTCCAGACCAAGCTCTCGGATGCGCTCGAGATCATGGTCGCCCGGCCTGTGAGCTACGTCTCGTGTCTCATCGCCGCCTCGCCAGCGATATGGTGGTACCTCGACCAGATAACCGCCATGGTCCTTGACGGCCCGCACGACCCCTACCTAACCTTCAAGCGCTCTCTGCGGATGTTCATCACCTGCTTCCTGCTCTGGCCGCTCATCTGCACCTCGGTGCAGGCGGAGGCGAAGCTCGAGGAAGACATGACAGTATCAAGATAAATGTTCGGAACTCCGCGCGGATTTCTTGGGTCGGCGCTGGGCCCCCCTGGCGCAATTCCGCGCGCCAGAGAGGCTGTACTTCGGTTGATTACCCAACAGAGACGTCGGAAATGCACCCCAAACGCTGCGCAAAAGCAGGGGGAAATGTCCGCCTCGGGAAGACAGGGCGGATATTCCCGCAAAGGTATCGCGGAAACAGCGACTGCAAGGTAGGACGGACACCGACACGGAGCCCGAACAGCAGGGCAGAAGTGCCCGCCTTGCTCCCGGAATCGCCCAAAGACTACGGCGGATCCGAAGTCAGCGGGGGCGGGCCCAGCGCCGATCCCGAGAATCCGCGCGGAGCGCCGAAGGTTTACGCTGATGCCGCTCTCTCTCCCTCCAGAAGCGCTTCTGCCACCGCGGCGCGGGCCGCCGCGGCGAGCTCGGGCTCACGCTCGCCGCCTCCGCCTGTGCGGGGCTCCCAGTCGCGGCCGGCAGCCTCGTGCTCGTCCTCTTCGCCGAGCCCGCCGAGGGCGTGGCCTTCGAGACGCTGCTCATCGTCCTGCTGGTCGCCCGGCTCACGTACCTGCTGGACCCCCTGCGGCATCGCGCGGCGGTCTTCGAAGAGCGAAAACCGGCACAAGCATGACTTCTCGGCGGTCCGTGCGGATTTCTTCGATCGGAGTCGGGCGCCCCTGGCGGCGCCTCCGGCGCCGTCCCTGGCGCGCTCCGCGCGCCAGCGAGGGGTGTCGCCGAGTCAGGACCTCCGCACGGACGTCCGAGTTTTTTGCTTGTGTTTCGCTGTCGTGTTCCGGTTTAGGGTCTAGGGTTTAGGGTTTAGGGTTTAGGGTTTAGGGTTTAGGGTTTAGGGTTTAGGGTTCCGTCTCTTGCTGATGTTGACGTTTGCTGCTCCAGGTCTTGCCACCGGCCGAGCGCGGCGTGGCGGTGTGACGGCCTCGCCGGGGGGCCGAGCGGTGGTGGTCTTCGCGCGCAGGGCGGGGCCGATCGCGCCGCGCGTGTCGCCTCGATTCTGCACGCCCCGCGAGCAGGGGGAGCGCGGCGGGAACGCAAGGGGGGGAGGGAAGAAAGGGAGGGGAGGGGGCAGGTTGGAGCCAAGCGGGGGATAGGGGACGAGGATGGAGCATCCGGGGCCAGTTTTCACCCAATGCTATCGCAGCGGCGCCCTCCTCTTCGCTTACGCGGCAGGCCCGCGTCACTGAGCATTTGATATTCTCGCGCCCGCCGCGGGCCCGCGCTGCGGTAAATACTGCTTTTCTTAACGATCATTTAAGTCTTGGATTCTATCCAGGTGCCTGCGGCCAGTCCCGTCACCGTGCCGGCCAAGCATTCTGGTGGCGGCGTTTGGAGGTGGTACGGGAGGCCGTCGCGTGTGGCGCCTCGTATCTCCAGGACTGGGAAAGCCGTGATGATAGTAAAGCTGATAAAGATGCTTATGTTGTAGATGGGGATGATGATGTTGATGACGTTGCTAATTCTGATGGGGATACTGTTTATGCTCATGATAAGGTCGAGGCTCGTGATGCTGATGATTAATGATATTAATCTGAGAATGAGGATAATGATGATGACGAGTATGGTGATGGTAGTGATGTAGTTGTTATTATTGATGGTGGCGAGGCTGACGACGATAACGGCATCGACGACGGCGACGACTGTTATGATGTTGATGATGATGATGATGACAATGATGACAATGATTACCATGATGATGATGATGATGATGATGATGATGATGACGATGATGATGATGATGGTGATGATGATGGTGGTGATGGTGGTGGTGATGACGACGACAACGATGATGATGACGACGATGATGATGCTCATGACTGTAATGCTAAAAGTAATGATGGTGGCTGTGATGATGATTCTAATTATGATGGTTGTGGTGGTGTCAATGATGGCGACGATGATGATGATGATGATGGTGATGATGACGACAGTGACGACGAATATGATGGTGACGGTGATTCATAATGATAAGGTTCATGATGATAGTGATGATGGCGATGACGATGCTGCTTCTGATGACGATGATGGTGATGATGACGATGGTGATGATGCTGGTGGTGGTGATGACGATGATTATGATGATCATGATGGTTATGATGATGATAACCATGATTATGCTGCTGATGATGATGGTAACGATGTTGATGCTGATGATGATGATGATGATGTTCATGATGATGGTGATGATGCTGATGATGATCTTGCTGATGGTGATGATGATGCTGATGCTGATGCTGCTGCTGCTGCTGATGCTGATGCTGCTGCTGATGATGATGACGACGACGATAATGATGATGATAATGATTATGATGATGATGATGCTGATGATGATTTGCTGGTGGTGGTGATGATGATGCCGATGTCGGTACAGCTGATGCTGCTTCGGTTGTTGATGTTGATGATGGTGACGACGACGATGTTGATGATGATGTTGATGCTGATGCTGACGATGATGATGATGGTGATGGTGATGATGATGATGATGATGATGCTGATGCTGATGCTGATGCTGATGATGATGATGATGATGGTGATGATGGTGATGATGATGATGATGATGATGATGATGATGATGATGATGATGATGATGATGATGATGATGATGCTGATGCTGATGCTGATGCTGATGCTGATGCTGATGCTGCTGATGATGATGAGGATGATGCCAAATGGCGATGAGTTTGGGGAGGAGGAGGAGGAGGAGCAGGAGCAGGAGCAGGAGCACGAGGAAGAGAAGGAGAGGACATGCTTCTCGTGTGGCACCTTTCGTTCCACTATTTGAGAAGCTCTCATGGAACTCGTTCGGGTCGCCTTGGAGCTGTCTTGGCCTCCTGTGAGGCACTATTAAGGGTCCCTTGGGGCAGTCTTGGGCCATCTTGGGGCCCTCTTACACTGTCTTGAGGCTCTCTTGGGCCATCTTGGGGCCCTCTTGGCCGTATGGTGGGTGCCTGGGGGCCGTCTTTGGGCCGTCTCGGGCCGTCGGAAGGCCCTCTGGGGCCATCTTGGGTCCCATCGGAGGCCCTCGTAGGCCGTCTTTGGGCCGTCTTGGATGCCTCATGTGCCATCTTGGGACCTCTTGGTGCGTCTTGGGATCAACCTGGGGGCCTCTTGAGTCGTCTGGGGGCGATCGTGGAGGCTTCTTGGGCCGCCTTGATCTGACGGAAGCCCGACAAGGCGAGAAAACGAACGTCATGCAAGAAGCAATCGGACATCGATGATGTTGGTTTCGTCGGACCTTGTTGGAGGTCCTCTTGTGACCCTCGTGGGCCCTCTTGGAGGCATCTTGGGCCGTCTTACGGCCATCTTGGGCCGCCCTGAGAGGTCATCTTGGGCCGTCTTCGAGGCCTCTTGGGTCATCTTGGGGTCCTTGGCTGCCCGCATGGGCCGCCTTCGAAGCTCGGGGCGCAGATTCCCGTTTTTTTTGTTTGCGAGGGATCGTGGCCTCGAGCGTGCGGCTCCATACAGCCGGGGCCCCGAAGAAGGAACCCTTTCGGTTGGGGGGGGGGCTCCGCGTTCCTTAAGTGTTTCGCAGCTTGCCTGAGGTTTTCCTTAGGTTTTCGATAGGAAATTTGACTTTAACTGATGGGAAACGGGGCCTCGTTCCTTATTTTGGGTTCCTCAGGTCAAGCCCCCGACTGTAGTTTCAACGAGGGATCGTGGCCTTAGGAGGGGGGGGCGATGCAGGCAGGGATCTGCCAGTTGAGAAAGGAGGTCCCGTGCTAGAGCACAGGAAACCTGCCAGACAGCCTTTGGCATTCTTCCACGCCCCAGCGTGCACAACGCACGGTGGCGGATTTTTCGGCCGTGCGTCTGCACGGAACTCTCATGTTTGACCACCTCTCGGGGACCGATAGATGAGTCCACCCTGCCAGTTCGATTAGCGAAACTGCCCCTGGGGGCCCCGTTTGGGCTTCTCGAGGGGGTGGCACAGCCGACGTTTTTTCAGCCGAACCCTCGGCCCATCCCGCCAATGTTGCTGGATGACTTGGACGTGCTGTAAGCTGGAGGACCTGGTGGCCTTGCACACGCACCAAAACGACAGAGCCGCGTGACGATATGCACAGCGAGTCCTCGCACCCCCTTCGAAGTAAACCCCTTCTGATATGGGTGTTCTGTTTTGCTTTGGGTCGAGCGCGCACGCTCCCCCTGCAGTGGTGTGCTCTCGCGCTGCCGGGCAACCTGCGCCTTCAGTGCACAGGCCGCTTTTCAACCACATGTTTTTTATTTCAGGGGAGATCCATCGAAGAAAAAGCAATGGCATCAGCGTAGTCTTTCGGAGATCCGCGCGGATTTCTTGGATCGGCGCTGGACCCCCTCCCTGGCGTCTCTGGCGCCACCCTCTGGATCGACGCAAGGAACCCCCTGGCAGCGCCTCCGGCGCCGCCCCTGGGGGGTGCAGCATCGAACCAAAAATTCCGCGATGAGCCCCGAAATATTATGTTTATACAGTCTGTTGCTTCTCTACTGGAGCTGATTCGCTCCGCCATGCGGGCGACCGACCAGCCATTTGTGCTCCAGGAGGAGGCATCTTTCTCAAGCAAAGCTGTAGGTACCCTCCTGTCGTCGCTCGTTTCGCTCCAGTGGCAGCGGTTTGTATTGTTTCGCCTTGCGCACGCACCCTTGGGTAACTGACCGCTGGTGAAAAGACGAACCCGAAAAGTGACGGGGCAAAACCGGGAATTCCCCCCAAACCCAGAAATTCGCAGGCCAAGCCCAGAGCACTTCTGTGGAAAACCAGGAATGTTCCGGACAAGCCTGGAAACGCACAAATGTGAAGACCAACCCGAGAGAAGAGCCCGACTTCGAAACTGTGGGAGGCAAAGCCGGGAATTGCAAGCAGGTGCGGATTTGGGGAGAGGTGTGGAGGTGGGGTTGGTAAAGGAAGATTGGGTTAAGGGAGACGGGGGGAGCGAGGAGGGAGTGGGGGGAAGGAGGGAGGATGCAGGAGGAGGGAGGGAGGAGGGAGGGAGGGGCACGAGAAGGTGGAGGAGGGAGGAGGGAGGAGGGAGGAAAAGGAAAGAGGAGGCAGGAAGGACGGGGAGGAGGGAGGAGGGATGAGGAGAGTAGGAGATGTGGGAGGACAAGCGAGGAGGTGGAGGGGGAGGAGGAGGAGGAGGAGGGAGGGAGGAGGAGGAGGAGGAGGAGGAGGAGGAGAAGCGAGGAGGAACAGGTGGAGGACGAGCGAGGACGAGCGAGGAGGCGGGCGCGCGGGCGGGCGGGCGGGCGACCGGGCGGGCGGGCGGGCGTGTAGGCGGGCGTGTGGGCCGGCGGGCGAGAGGGCGGGCGGGTGCGCGCGAGCGGGCGCGCGGGCGGACGCGCGCTTCAACGGGCGGGCGGGCGCGGGAGCAGGCGCGCGTGAGGGCGGGCGAGCGTGCGGGCGCGCGGGCGGGCGGGCGTCGTGGTCGGCGTCGGCGTCGTCGTCGTCGACGTCGTTGTCGTCGTCATTGTCGTCGTCGATGTCGCCGTCATCGTTGTCCGTCGTCGTCGGCGTCGGCGTCGGCGGCGGCGGCGGCGTCGGCGTCAGCGTCGTCGGCGTCTATGTCGTCGGTGTCGTCGTCGTCGTCGTCGTCGTCGTCGTCGTCGTCGTCGTCGTCGGTGTCGTCGTCGGTGTCGTCGTCGTCGTCGTCGTCGTCGTCGTCGTCGTCGTCGTCGTCGTCGTCGTCGTCGTCGTCGTCGTTGTCCTCGGTGGAGCCACGTGCCGAGTACATTTTTCTGTACGCCTCCGCGGCGTTGCCACGTTAAATGCAAAATAGTAGCTTGTTTTTCCTTGTGCGCCTCTACTAATGATCGCACAATCGATTGCAAGGAGAAGAGGCTCCAACCACGGCTGCTGAGCTCAAATCTTGCGTGAACCTGCGCGTCTGCTGCTCCATCAGCCCCAGGGACGGAGAGCCTGCACCATGGACCGTACAGCCGCATGGTATTTGTTTCTTCGCCGGCCGGTCGGGGCTCTCTGAGGCCTTTTTGAAGTCCTCCGGTAGTGATTTCAAGATACTGCTAGTTCGGAGTCCCTTCCGGAGGCGATTTTTTGAGGACGTCTCGAGCGAAACGGCCATTTTGAGCGGAATCCACCAACGTAGCAACATTTACAATCGGGAGTCAGTTGCCCCTCGCGAGTTGTTCTTTATTTATACCTCACTTAGAAATTCTAGAAAACTCACATCACCTTCTCGTTCCGAGAAGGCGCTTCCCGTCATCGGAGGACAAGGGGCAGGATGAGGAAGTGCGGAAGGAGGATGTCGGTTCCCAGGACTCCCCAGGGTGAGGAAATATCGTCAGAAAGGTGGCGGAAGGGGGGGGAGGAAGGAGATCGTCGGCTAACAGCGGAGGAGGGGTCGGTGATGGGGGAGAAGTTCTCCTGCCGCGCGCCGGATCGCCCGGGCGCGGCTCGGTGGCCGCCTCGGGGGACGGGGGGGGGGCGGGCGCGGGCGGGCGGGCGGGCGGACGACCGGGTGGGCGGGCGAGCGGGCGGGCGGGCGGGCGGGCGCGCGGCCGGGGCGGGCGGGCGGGCGCGCGAGCGGGCGCGTGCGTTGGCGGGCGTGCGGGCGCGCGGGCAGGCTGCGGGCAACACCGCCGGAGCCTCTCGCGCGCGGGTGCTCCGCCCTCCGCCCCCCGCCCCGCGAGAAGAGCAAGAGAGCCACCCGCTCGGCAGGTGGCGACACCTGGGCCGCCCGCGCGCGCATGTGGGCCGACGCCCAAGGCCCCGGCCCCTGGCGTGTCGTCCCCTGTCCTTCGCCTGGCCCACCGTGCCCCGCTCTCTCGGGCCGCCCGCGCTGCTTTCGCCCTCTCTTGCCCTCCCTCCCTTTTTTCTGTCTGTCTGTGTGTCTCTCTCTCTCTCACTCTCTCTCTCTTCTCTCTCTCTCTCTTTCTCTCTTTCTCGCTATCTCGCTATCTTTCTTTTGTTCTCTCTCTCTCTCTCTCTCTCTCTCCCTGGCTCTCCATCCCTCTCTCTCTGTCTCTCTCTCTCTCTCTCTCTCTCTCTCTCTCCCTCCCTCCCTCCCTCCCTCCCTCTCTCTCTGTCGCCCCCTCTCTGCTTCTGTCCCTCTTCACGGTCCTCTCTCTTTCTGTTTTTCCGTCTCTCCTCGCTCTCTGTCTCTCTCTCTCTCTCTCTCTCTCTCTCCCTCTCTCTCTCTCTCGCTCTTTCGCTCTCTCTCTCTCTCTCTCTCTCTCTCCCTTTTTTCCATTTCTCTCCGCGTATATATGTATATGTATACACAGATGTATATACATATCCTTCCCACGTTCCCCATTATCCTGCTTCCTATCCTGTTCATTATCCTCTCCACCCCTCCCCTTCCCCCTTCCGTTCTTTCTTCCTGACGTTAGTATGTTGGCCTCTCCTGGCAGGCGAGGTCATCTGCAGGACCAGCAGGAGCATGAGGACAAGAGGAAGCCCACGATGCACAAGCGATGCTGCAGCACACCCTCCCGTCCCAAGGCTCCTCCCCATACGTCCCTACACGCTCTTTGTTCACTACACGGGGCGTTCCTGGTGAAAGGCCAGCACCATATGGGCCTGCCATGTTGGCAAGGGTTCCTGTTGGCAGAATCCGCTACAGAGCAGCCTTCTGTTGCGCAGGTGATCAAGAGAACGAAATCTGTGAGCAGACGCTTCAACACGAGGTGGTCAGCGAGAATCCCCCTTCCGAAAAAGGGGCATCGCTCATCCGTGCGATTGTTGCGCAAGTTTGCATGTGCGGTCATGGCCTTCGTGAGAGCTCCATGTTCAAAAGGACCCGCCTTTGATCCGTGCACTGCTACATGTGTTGAAGCTTCGAGTCTGTGAAGCGCAGAAAGTCCCAAGCGACAGCCTCATCTTGAACAGAACTGCCCCCCATCCTATTGAATGTTGCCAGCCTTTAGTACGAACGTGCGCGCGGCGCTGAAGCGATAGCCCCATTTTGAAAACGATGTGTGTGTGTGTGTGTGTTCCATCCCTGACGGCTGAAAGGTTTTGATACGAGTGTGCGCGGCGGTAAAGCGAGAGTCCGACGTTGAAAAGGAATCGCCTGCGGTCTTTGAAGCTGCTGCAACCTTTTTAGACGAATGTGTGGGGTGATCAGGCGCGAGCCCCATTTGAAAACTGCCTGTGCTCCATCCGTTAAGCTGTTCCAGGATTTGAGACGAATGTGCGCGGCGCTTTGGTGAGAGCCCCATTTTGAAAACGACCTGTGCTCCACCCTTGTAATTCTTCCAAGATTCTAGCACGAACGCGCGCGGCGCTAAGGCGAGAGTCCCCCTTTGAAAAGCAACCGTCCTCGATTCTTAAAGCTGTTGCAAATCTGAGACGAATGTGCGCTGCGCTCAGACCAGAGCCCCAGTTTAAAGACGACCTGTGCTACATTCTAGAAGCTGCTCCAGGATTTTGATTCCCTTTGTAGAACGTGCATTTTTACCGTATTCGTGTTTTTCGTCTTCGCGCCATCCTTGGCGACATCATGGGCCCCTTAGATCGCCCCTCCCCAGAGGGTCAGGACGGCCCAAGAAGGTTCCAGGCCCGTCCCAGAGGCCTCCAAGACGCTTCATAACCCGTGCAATTTGACCCCCAGAGGGCTCCGGGAGGCAAAAATGGTTCCGTTCCCTTCGCAAAACGTACATGTGAACCGCATTCGTGTTTCTCGTCTTCGCAACGTTCTTGACAGCCTCGGGGGCCGGGGGGGGGGGCGGCCCGGTGCCTGTTCCCCGCATGGGCGCCCGCAGGGGGTTGTGGGGGGGGGTCCAGAGCTTCGAGGCGGCCCGGACCCGCCCCGAAACATGCCACGACAGGCTAATGGGGTACCGAGAGGGCCCAAGAGCGGCCCCGGAGACGCCCAAGATGCCCTCAAGACGGCCGACGAGGACTCCAACACGCTCGAGGACGGACTCAAGAGGCTCCCCAAGAGGGCCCTGGGAGGCTGAATTCATTAATTTCCCGATGGTTTTTGAAGGATTTTGGCGTTCCCGCTTTTCCCGCTTCCCAGCACTCCCTCACGACCTTAGATGCCCTTCAGATCGCTCCAAGACGGGCCCCTAGGCCCCGAAGAGGGCCCCAAGACAAGACGGCCCAGGAGGCTCCCCAGTCAACCCAAGTGCGCCCCAAGAGCGCCCCAAGACGGGGCCCAGAGGGGTCCCGAGGCGGCCCAGGCCCGCCCCGAAGTAGGCCACGACAGGCTAAGGGGGTCCCGAGAGGATCCACGACGCTCCCAAGAGCCCCCGGAGACGCCCAAGATGCCCTCAAGACGGCCGAAGAGGACTCCAGCACGCCCCAGGACTGACTCAAGAGGCTCCCCAAGAGGGCCCTGGAAGGCTGAATTCATTTATTTTCCAAGGGTTTTTGAATGACTTTGGCGTTCTCGCTTTTCACGCTTCCCAGCACTCCCTCACGGCCTCGGAGGCCCCTCAGATCGTTCCAAGACGGCCCACGAGGCCCCGGAAGAGGGCCCCAAGACGGCCCAGGAGGCCCCCCAGACAACCAAAGTGTGTTGTGCCCCAAGAGTTCCCCAAGAGTGGGCCCAGAGGGGGACCGCCCACCGATGTTTCGAGGTCTCTGGCCCTAGAGGCCCTCAGTAGGCCCCTGGATCCCACCAAGAGGCCCCCAGGAAGCCGCACGAGACCCCCAGAGGGCTCCCAGGGAGCGCCCAAGAGGCCCCCCAACGCACCCTAAGAAATGATGTCCCCAGAAAGCCTTCCGGGGACATAGTTCATCATGGGCCCGAGAGTTCCCGGAGGCCCCCAAAGCCCCCCAGGGAGCGCCCAAGAGGCCCCCAACAAAGCATGCCCCCAGAAAGCCTTCCGGGGACATGGTTCATCATGGGCCCGAGAGTCTCTGAGGGCTCCGAAGTACCATCACGCGACCGGAGGGCTGTCTGGGAACTTGACTGGGAACATGACTGATCGCCTTCTCGCGGCCCCCCGCATATCGTTTCTCATAAACTTACCCCAAGTGCTGTCTTGAACCGACGACGACGACGAAACGACGAAGACGACGACGACGATGACGACGACGACGACGACGACGACCACGACAACGACGACGACGACGACGACGACGACGACGACGACGACGACGACGACGACGACGACGACGACGACGACGACGACGACGACGACGACGACGCGCGCCCCAAGAAGCGACGACGACATTACGACGACGACAACGACGGCACGCCCCAACAAGCTTCCCAAGACGCCTCCAAACCATGTTCCCAGAAGGCCTTCTGGGAACCCGATTCATCCGGCCTCCGCCCCCCTACGCAACCATCTTCCCCGAAAGCATTCCAGAATGCGGATTGACATGCGTGGATTGTGGTCCACTACTTCAGTGGAGCAGTGAATTTGTCAATGCCTGGGGCCTGCTAGACCCTTAGCGCGCGCGAAGCGCGCGAGATGGTTCTAGTAATTATTTACCAGTTATTGGTGTGTGTGTGCGTGTGTGTTGGCAACCCTCATGTAGGCCCCGAAAATAATCATTTGCCCATTATTGGGGATTGTTAGAGACCTTTAGCGGTTACGTCAATTAGAGGATGAGGGGGATGAGAACAGAACGAGCAGGGGGAGCCACGGAGGATGACGAGGAGGGGCAACAGCAGAGCAGCAGGAACAGGAGGGCGAGGATGAAGACGAAGAGGATGAGGAGTGGAAGCAGGAGGGGAAGCAGGAGGGGGAAGGAGGGGGGGAAGCAGGAGTGGAAGCAGGATGAGGAGGGAAGGAGGGGGAAGCAGGAGGGGGGGGACGGTGGAGCAAGCAGGAGTGCTCGACTAGAATCTGAGCGTGCCATGCTCGCGGAGAGTTCTAGTTAACATGCCGCGTCTCCCGCAGGTGCGGATAGGAGTAGAGGGCTGTGCGGGGATTTTCTGAATCAGCATTCGAGACAGAAGCGGGCCGAAGGCGCTTACTCGCTCCAGCAGCAGATGGCAAGGGTGGAGCCCACCGCGGACGCATGGCTTCTGATGCGATGTACCTCTGGTCAACCGAGAAGCGGCGCCCAGGCAAGGCCCCACGGCGACGAGCCCTGAGCCCCCCTCGGAGCCCCCTCTCCGAGCCCCACGACCACCACGTCCAGGTAGAGCACCCTGGATTCGATTCCTTCGCCGCCCCCACGAGCGAAGTCGCGGGCCCCCCCTCCGACCGAGCCCCGCGGGCCGAGGAAACGAAAGCACTGATCAAGGCGCGCCGATCAACGATGGGCCCCGCTTCCAGACGAAGTTGACGCGCTCCGTCGCCAAAGAAGGCTGGCCTCATGCTCGGGGGGCGCGGTCCCCGATCCGTGGCTCTGGTGCGCCCACACACCAGATCCGCGGACCCGTGATCCATGCTAGCGTGTGCCCGAACGGGGCCTTCCCAAGGTGCACCACGCTCAGACGTCAAGCCGAGGCAGGGGCCTGCCGCGGGTGCCGTTTCTTTCGGCTTGCGCGCTGGGATGGTCCTGCCACTGTTGGGCTCTACGGCGACGGGCCCCCGGACCCTTCAGCCACCCAGGAGCAAGAGTGCCCCATCCGAGACTTCATGTGTTCCTCAGCACGGGGAGTGCCGCTGTGTGCTCTGATCTCCCATCTGAAACGAGGGTTGTTGAGTCACGATGCGCATGGTTTGCAGCTTCTTGGAAGAAAGGGTCAGGTCCCAATCGAAATCTGATAAGTTGATACTTCGATACGTTGTGTCCCTTTATCATCGCGTGTATCGTGGGCACCATCATCAGCACATTCCTCTTCCGTATCAATTTTGGCTCGTCTGGCTCTTGCAGTTGAGGTACCCATTCATCTGATCAGTTCAGTTCGATTGCACAGCTGTGCAGGCACTTACACATGTTCGCCCAGGTTGCTGTGGCGCTGGCCCTGCTTAGCGCTAGTCGCGTGTGTGCAGAGGGGGAGGCCCTGGTGACCGAACTCGCGGAAGAGGTGCTTGCCTGGGAGTCTGGGAAGGTCTTGCCAAGTCCTTGGGAGACTGTCTTCAATCGACCGTCGAACAGGGATGTGGGCTCCGTCACCGAGCATCCCATCTGGGATAAATATGACCTCGAGGTGTTTCCCGACTCTCTCGAGACCGCGCGTGAGCAGGACGGCTTCCCGCCCAACATCGCGATTGGCAGAGTGCTGATGAAGGACAGCAAGAAGCCCACCCAGCCGCCTCCGAGCTACCGCATGACAGGCGTCGGAGGTGAGGAGGTGAGGCACCTGAACGGCATGGTAAATCCCGCCGGGTCTACGACGGTCTGGGGCTGGCAGAGGATCAGGTACCTGGCGGTGAAGACGTGGCTCGATTACTGGGCGGGCCGCAACACCGAGAAGATGATCGTCCTCCATGCCAGCGGCGAGGTCTTGTATGCTGGCTGCGACGAGTAGGGGGCCACATGCGAACCCTACCCCTACCCCCCACGATTTCTGAGGGGGAGTGTGGGGTTCACTTCATTCGGGAGGTCACGAGCGAAGTGAACCCCACCCTCCCCCTCAGAAATCGTGGGGGGTAGGGGTAGGATTCGCATGTGGCCCCCTAACGAGAACACGATCCAGTACAAGTACGACCAGATCATCGCCGCCAGCGGCGGCACCCAGAAGGTTGTCCTGGCTGCCGAAGTGAGCCCCTGGCCTGCCGATCTCGGGTGGCGCTACGACCAGACGGCTGGCATCGCGACGACGCGGGCCGATTTCCTGCAGGCCGTGGGCGTGGCCGAGGCTTTCGCGTCCACTTATGCCGACTGCACCAACGCGACTGTCGGGTTCTGTAACACCCCGCCCAAGTATCAGTTCGCGAGCTCGGCCTTCATCATGGGCCCCATCGGGGATGTTGCAGACATGCTTGCCGATATGTACTACTGGTCCGACTCAGAGAACCGCTTAGTAAACGAGTACTTCCTCCACAACCCTGACATGGTGGCTCTCGACTACGCTGGCGTCCTTGTGCTGTCCCTGAACAACATGAAGTTGGACGCGAGTATCCCCGTCACGGTGGAAAGCGCTTCGGGTGTGAAGTCCTTCAAAAACCTGATCACCAACAGCAACGTGTGCTTCGTGCATGGCGGCGGCAACTCTTTTGATGCCCTCAAAGTCCTTGCCCAGGAGCTGCTCTCCGACGCCTGAGCGCTGAGTAGTGAATCGAGTTCGTGTGATGAAGTATCATCGGTGCGCTTCTTGCAGCTTCGGATGGGTCGGGTGCTCAGGTGGGCCTTACTCCAGCTTCAGAGCGTTGGGCAAGAGGCGCTCATGATGCACAGCACCTCCAGGGCAGCCTTGGCCTTGAATGGGCTGCCGGGGCGCCAGTGGGCGGGCTGGCGCGTCTTTGGTGCGGACAGCACGAGAAAGCCAGCGAGGAGCAGGAGGAGAAGTAAATACGAATGACGATGATGATCACGCCTTGTCAGATCCGCCTCCTAAACTTGTGTGACCGACGCGCCTCCAGACGTTGTTGTTCCATCTCTCTCTGACCAGGGCGAGGAGGAGGGAGGAGGAGGAGGACAAGAGCTAGGAATGGGAGGAGGAGGAGGAGGATGATGATGAGGAGAAGAAGAAGAAGAAGAAGGAGCAGGAGGACGGCAAGGATGAGACGGGCGAGGGCGAGGTGGAATCCCTCTTCCTCCGACCCGGGCGAGCGGTGAGGAGGGCGAGGGCGAGGGCAAGGAGGAGGAGGAGGCGGGGGCGAGGGCGAGGAGGAGGAGGAGGGCGAGGAGGAGGGCGAGGGCGAGGGCGAGGAGGAGGAGGAGGAGGATGCTGAGGCCGAGTCGCGCCAGGCGGCGCCCGTTCGCCGCCCGGCGCCCCTGGCTCGCGGCTGGGCGCGGCTCCGCGCAAGCCGTCCGGAGCGCCTTGGGCCTCGGTCGAGAAAGCAGGAGGTTCGGGCAGGCCCAAGAGGAGGAGGAAGGAGGAGGAGGAGGAGGTGATGAGGAGGAAGTGGAGGTGATGAGGAGGAAGTGGAGGAGGAGGAGGAGGTGATGAGGAGGAAGTGGAGGAGGAAGTGGAGGAGGAGGAGGGGGAGGAGGAGGAGGAGGAGGAGGAGGAGGAGGAGGAGGGAGGAGGAGGAAGTGGAGGAGGTGATGAGGAGGAAGTGGAGAAGGAGGAGGAGGGAGGAGGAGGTGATGAGGAGGAGGAGGAGGAAGTGATGAGGAGGAAGTGGAGGAGGAGGACCAGTGTAAACCTAAGACGCATCAGCGATGTTGCAATACACCATCCCTCCAAGTTCCTTCTTCATGGGGCCCTACCAGAATGCAGATTCCCATTCCGGGAAGTGCCCCAGTGGAAAACCAACGTCTGAGAATCCTCAATCATGCCCAAACGCAGTTCCTGGGACTGCAGCGTCGCGAGTCGACGTGACTGTTGCGTTCTGATATCCCAAGAATTTGCCAGACCACCACCACTCCTGGGACTTCGAAGATGCGTTTCTTTGAAACTGATTCAAACTTCCAAATCGCATGAGCACGGCGCTAAGACGAGAACCAACATGTGAAAAGGAGCCGCCCATCATTCGTGAAACGATTGCACAATTGTAAGACGAATGAGCACGGCGCTACGGCCAGAGCCACATGTTGCAAACGGCCAGCCTTCCATCCGCGAAGCAGTTGCAATGTGTTCAGACGAATGTGTGCGGCGCTTTGGCGAGAGTAACATTTTGAAAATTGCCCGCCCTCCATGCGTGAAACAGTTGAAATTTGTTCAGACGAATGTGCGCGGCGCTAATTATGGCGACAGCAACATTTTGCAAGCAGCTCGCCCTCCATGCGTGAAGCTGCTGCAAATGTTCGAAATGATTGCGCGCGGCGCTAAGGCAAGAGCCACAGTTTGCAAACGGCCAGCCCTCCATCCATCCGTAAAACAGTTGCAATTTGTTCAGACGAATGTGCGCTGCGCTATGGCGAGAACAACAGTTTGAAAACGGCCCCCCTTCATGCTTGAAAAAGTTGCACATGTTTAAGATGAATGTGCGTGGCGCTAAGGCGAGAGCAACATTTTGCAAACGCCCCGCCCTCCATGCGTGAAGCTGCTGCAAATGTTCATAACGAATGCGCGCGGAGCTAAGGCGAGAGCCACATGCTGCAAACGCCCCCCCTCCATCCGTGAAAGGTTTGCACATTTCAGGTTTCAGCATCATACATTGTCGGGAAGTCTCGGGCGAAACGCCTGGCCCGCCCTACGGACATGTCTGGGGGTGCGACAGGGAGGAGTCATTCAAGAGTCAAGAGGCTTACGCCATTTTACCGACTCCCAGAGGGAGACGTTGGCGAAACTCTTTCCTGACATGGCGGACAATTATTTAAATCGTGTATTGGCAACGCTGGACGAGGAGGACAGGGAGTGGGAGGGAGAAGACGAGGACGACAAAGAGATGGAAAGTACGACGAGTAAAGTGGGGGAAGCGAAGAGGAGGATGACGACGACGAGGGTGCGACTCGCGAAGTGCCGTCTGAGATGGCGGGGGGAACTCGACAGGGTGCAGCGGCGACGCAGGAGGGGGGGGAGGGGGGGCGAGAAGAGGAGGGACAGAAGAGGACGAGAACGAGGAGGGGGAGTAGGAGGATAAGGAGGAGGAGGAGAAGGAGGAGGAGTAGGACGACGATAATGATGAAGACGGAGATGAAGACGGAGATAAGAACATGACGACAGTGCGACTCGCGAAAGCTTGTGACGATTGTGGAAGTTATTTTGTGGGCCAGGAGCCCCTTGAATACTTATGAGAGGCTCAGGGGGTGCGTCGGAGAGGCATCTTGGAGAGCTCCTTGTGGAATTCGTTGGGTGTTTCAGGTTTCTTGAGGGCATTTTTTGTCGCTTATTGGAGGATTCTTGGAGGTCACCTCTGTGTGGAATGTGTTGGGTTTGCAAGATGTCTTGGGGGCCGCTTGTGGTCTTTTGGGAGCTTCTTGGAAGACTCTTGTGACTTGTGGGCGCCTTGGGGGGCTCTTTGGGCCATGTGGGGGGGAAAGGCTCGAAATGTCAGTTCGCAGTTCCCCTTCGAGGCCCCTCTCAGGGCACTCCTGGGGCTTTCTTTGGTGGGGCCTTCTCGGGGTGCCTCGGGGCTCTTTTGGTGGCCTCAAGGGCCGCCTTGGGACGATCTTTGGGGCCCTTCGGGCCGTCGTGGACGCTGTCAAGACCAAGAAGGCGAGTATCCTAACACATACACGTTTTTTGGTCTGCGGGTCGAGAGCGAGCCTCTTCCGGTTAAGAGCTAGGCGGGCCGCGCAAAGCATTAATTGGGGAGACAGGGCGCGGGCGGGCGGGGCCTCAGGCGGCCGGTGCTGAAGAGCATGCACAGGAAAAGGTACGCCTTGGACAGGAGCCGGAGGCAAAGTCCTGGAGTGAGAGCGAAGTGGTGTTGCCGTCGACGGCGCGTCAAAATCACCATCCTCAAGTGCTGCGTGCGGAAGGGCGTAACCAGGTCGACGTTCAGGGGGTAGAGGTACACCAGGTAGGCGAAGAGCAACAGGTGCCACCAACTCGTGAAGAGAGGCCCAGGAGATGAGGATGACCACGAAGACGATGTGCATCGTTTTGCCACCGGGTGGTCGGTAGCGGCCTGGGGTGGTAGTCCAATCCACGTCCAGGAAGCAGCCAAGAGGTGCGGCCAGAAGCAGGGCCGTCTGTGTCCGCATGGCCGAGGGCCGGGCCTGAGCCGCGCTGCCCAGGGTAAGCGGGGCCGCCGAAGCGGCAAGGTGCAGTGCCAGGCACCGGGCCGGAGCCGCGCTGTGCCGGGCGCCGCCGCCATGGGAGGGGGGGAAGCGAGCGGGGGGGGAGGAAGCGAACAGGGAGGAGAGAGGCCGGCGTCCCGCGCCAGCCGAAGTCGCGCCAGCATGCACCGAGGTGCTCACGTGGGGACCAGCCCCAATGCGTACAGGTAAGACACGAGGTCCCAACGCGGGCGTGTCACACAAGTCGCTGGGGCGCACCAGTGCGTCGCAGGTGGGTAATGTGGGTACAGGGGGGACACAGAGTCCCATATCCTTGAGTCTCATTCAGCCGATGGGTACAGGTAGGACACAGAGTCCCAGATCCTTGGAAATGGGAGAGAGGGCGGGGAGAGGGAGGAAAGGACGGGGTCCAGGTGGAAGAGTGGGTAGCCAGCACGTGGAACGCGGGCGCCACAGGGGCGATGGGGTGCAGGTAATGGGGAAGAGAGGGACACACGGTCCCCAGCCAAGTGACAGGTTGGGGTGTGGGTCTGGGTCGGGGGCGCAGGTAGTGGGAGCGATTGGCTGGTTGTGCTGACGCATACACACGCGGTGGCGCAAGCGGCACAGGAAATGCGACGCCCGCCTCTGAGCAAGTAGTGGATAGCGATAGACAGCTGACCCCAGAGGGGCTCTAAACTTTGCGAACGGAAACAGAAACAGAGAGCTGAAGGGGGAGGGGGGGTGTGCTCTCTCCAGTCCCTCTGAGCATCGGCCGGAGGCGTTGCTTAAGGGGACAGTCGCTGCATTCCATCGCCCGGGGGGTTGGAATGTCGCCCCTGCGTGGGTTGCTCCCGCCAAAGTTCCCCCGAAAGGGGGAGCTTAGGCGGGGGCTTTTCTCGCAGGCAGGGTCGAGGAAACGCCAAAGTGAACCCAGACGCGTGGATTAGCGACGGGTCCCGCTTCGGGGCCGAATCGGCGCGCTCCGTCGCTGAAGGAGGCGGCATTGGCCTTCTGTTTCGGGCGTGCCTTCCCCGATCCGTGGATCTGGCGCCCACGCGCCAGATCCACGGATCTCTCATCCATGTCAGCGTTTGCCCCAGAGGCGGAGAGGCGCCCTGAGGTCCGAACGTCGCCATTTTGTCACGCCAGATGCTTACTCCCAGCTTGCGGGCCCTGGGGCCAGCACAGATCGATCCGGCTCAACAGCAGCCGCAGAAAGATGGGGCTGGGCGCCCCGGCCGTGATTTTTCACAATGCTGCAGCTGGTTCGCAACGTCGGATCTCCGGGAACGTTGAGAGCGGAGGAGGCGGAGGGTGAGGGGGGGGAAGGAGGAGGAGAAGGAGGAGGAGGAGAAGGATGAGAAGGAGGAGGAGGATGAGAAGGAGGAGGAGGAGGAGGAGGAGGAGGAGGGGGAGGAGGATTCCGTAGCCATTTTGGCTCAAGTCCGTAGCGTTTCGCTCAGGGACCGAAGCCTTTTTGGCGTGGGG